GTCCTTAAGGGCCACGGGTCAATAGCCCATTCGGCTTCGCCTCATGGGCTATTGACCCGTAGCCCTTGTGGGCTACGGGTCTAATTGTTAATTATACCTCCCAACTCAAATACATTTTCCGAATGGAGAAGGATGTGTCACATGTCGTGGGTCATAACTCACTAACTCCCCGGAGCGAACAAAACTCACTAACTTGCTAGGACTCCTTGAACTTTCGACTTGCACATGATCAGGTCATGCTCCTTGAGACCGCGGCTAATTTGTGAGCCAGCTGGAGTCAAGCAAAGGATTTCCTTGCATTTTTTTTCTACTTTTTGAGTAGGGAGGTATAACAAAACACTTCATGACTGGTCCCATGGGAAACAGTGAGTTTCGTTTCCCCTCGAACTCAATGCTCCCCTCAGCTTTGCCTCTGGGAACTTTGAGGGTCTCGGGAAACAAAACTCACTGTTTCCCTTGGGACCAGTCATTAAGTGCTTATTGTTGTGGAGCAACACTGAAATTATTTACTTGTTTGTTTTCCCAAAACTTGTCGCATCATTTATAGGTTAACTCTTTCCACTTGCCCTAACTTGGACTCATGGTTTTCTTGCTTTGAGTGGTTTGATTTTATCATCCATTTGGTTTACACAGAAGACAATCAAAGTTGTAGACAAGTTAAAGGACTCTGTCACAATGCAGTTTTCAAGAGTCTTTTTTTTGCAGCATACAAAATTGCCTGAAGAAAAACATAAAAAGCACAAGGATGGTTCAGGGTGTAGAAGATTACATTAGATTGTCAATGAAAAACTTGAAACATTTTGGCTACATTTTTCAAAATGTACAAACTCTGATATAGCTGCTTTAATTTTCAGCAATCTTTTGTTACCTTTTTGACTGCCTTTCATAAGCCTGAACCTAAATGTACATGACTGATGGTACATAAATGTAATTCAATCTCTTACATTTTATTCTATTTTTTGTTAGAACATTGAAGAACTAATGGGTGGAAGCAATGAAGAAGGCCCAAGCATTGCTTTTTTAACTGGGATCTTCTTCTGTCTGAATTTCCTCGCTGCAACTCAAGACATTGCTGTTGATGGCTGGGCACTTACAATGCTATCCAGAGAAAATGTCGGTTATGCCTCGACTTGCAACACTGTTGGCCAGACTGCAGGATACTTTATGGGAAATGTTGTGTTTTTAGCCCTTAGTTCCGCCGACTTTAGCAATAGATATCTGAGAACTCAGCCATTGGATGATGGAGTAGTCACTTTCTCAGGATTTTTTTATTTTTGGGGAATTGTATTTTTAGTCACCACAACATTAGTTGGATTGTTTAAACGTGAAAAGTCTGAGATAGAACTTCATGGAGAGGAATCTGTTGAAGGAATCGTTGATGGATACCAAACCTTGATGAAAATCTTGCGCTGTCCAAGTATTTTAAGACTCATGGTTATATTGCTAACATTTAAGGTAAAATTTGAAAACAACTTGTTTAATTTGTCAAATTTAAGATGATACACACGTGGAGATGTATTTTGGTACATGTGCTTTCCTCACCTTACCTGTAGATATTGAGTTTTTCGGTGAAAACCTTTAAACTTTAATATCCAGACAGTAGGTTTGTTTCATGTACTCTATAAAGGGTATTGAAAGTAGTTAGTGTTTATTTGTGATATATAGGTGCAGTAGTTTACAGTAAAACCTTTTATTCAGTGTTAGATTCTCCATTATACTACACATGTATATGGTCCGGGTTTGACCTGTGGAGCCTTCATATAAACACCTCCACAGTATACATGTATGTACTCAGTTCAAACAGGTTTGATTGTAATATGATATTCAGCTGTATGCACATGTATGTTATAAATAAAGTGAATAAATGCACAGTCCTCCTTACATGTATTTACAGTATTTGTGATTGTTCATTGTTAGGTTGGCTTTTCAACTGCTGACTCGGTGACTGGCCTCAAACTGATTGAAGCAGGAGTTCCTAAAGAGAACCTTGCTCTTCTTGCTATCCCTATGGTTCCAATTCAGATTCTACTGCCCCTTTACATCAGCAGATACACAGCAGGTACATGACTGTATCAACATGTCCGCACTGACGATTTTATTACATGTATATATTACCTTCTTAGATATTATTTTTATTTTGTGTGTTTGGGCAGGGAGACATATTATGATATTTGCCTGTTGGGAGGTCTCTATAATGAAAAACAGTGACAGAGGTCTTGAATAATTTTTGACCATTTTACACACATGTTGCTTGTGTGTTACCATGACTGTGGGTGGAGATAGAAAAATTTGAACTGTGCTATAGAACCAATCAGGTTGCAGGATTAAACTGAGCCCACTTAAGAAAAAGTAATACAAATTATAATACACAGATTTTTGTTGAAATTACAAAACCTTTCTCATACAAGTCATGAATAGGCCACGTTCAATATATCAATATTCAAACATGGCTCTGAGGCTTTCAGGACAACTTCTGTATTTAGTGGTGTTTTCTATGTATCCAAGTCTCTTTTGGGAATTGTAAGACAAAAGAAACTGAAAAAAATTGCAATTTTGACCCGAAAGCCTCAGATTCATGTTAGAATATTGACATATTGAATGTGTCCTTAGCTATTACTTAGGCATCAGTATAATATTATAGCAAAAATGGCAATTTTGTAGAAAACATTTTGTTTGATGTTTTCAGTTAGATCTCTTTTGATACCTTGTATTTAAAAGAAATCCCAAGGAAGAGATTGATTCTAAACAAAGTTATGATGAAAAATGTTATTCTCCAGACTGTCCATTAATTACCTCTAGTTGGTAGCTCTCATCAGGGTGTCACTCAGTTGTCATGTGACTTGAGCGCAAGGGTAAAATGAGTTTCATGTCTGATCTTCCACAAGAAGTTGATCGGAAGTTTTTTGTCTTTCAGTGCCCTTTTTTTAAATATGGTACACTATTTTATATGTAACTTCATTTCATCAATTTGCAGAGAAAGAAGAAAAGAAAATGGTTGTGTCATTTTTCAAACCTGAAGAAGGCACCATACATGCATGTAGAAAGAAAAAGGCATTGAAACTGTTCAATTGTACATACATACACGTGCTGACTGTATGTCTGCTTTAAATAGGTCCTCGTCCCTTGGATGTGTTTCTCAAGGCTTTCCCATACAGACTCTTTATGGGCATGGTATTCATGATGTGTGTATGGTGGGCTAATGCTGTGCGTGGACCTGGGCAGGAGTTTTATCCCATATACTTTTATGTCACAATCTTATTGGTGTATGCTGTCCATCAGGTATTATAAAGTGCATAGATCTGCTTTTTTGAATGCTTTGGCAATATTCCAAGTCATTTTAAATTGTACACATAAAACTTAGTAATCCAGGCTTAAAGACTTTTGCATTTCCCTTAGCCATACATGTAGGCTAGCAAGCCTTACAGGTTTAAGTGTACAGGTATGTCATGTATGTATATGTACATGTACAATCTCCAGTCTTTGGTCAGGTGTTCCAATATTTTAATAAAGATGAGTGTATTTAAAATCTGATTCAATTAAATTCATAAAACAAACTTGTTCAAATAAATTCTACAGGTAGGTATGACAACTATTTCCTTACCCTACTACACTCAAAAAATAGCATAAATGGAGCATCAGTCAAAGAAAGTAAAAGAAAACAGTCAAGCACCACATGTATGAAATTGAGGGCTCTCTTTAGAACTACATCATTGGCATGGATATATCAGATCAAATCTCAGATCTTTGTGTACACTGTATGTCTTCCTGGTGTAGGAGATACAGTGTATTTAGCCTGTGAGATGGCCTTTACTGTATGTTTGGGTCACGAACAAGCAGTGAAGCAAGGGAAACAAAATGTGATTGGTCTACCAAATCTCATTGTGGATGTCCATGTTCAACTGTCATCTAATTTGTTTTTCTTTGTCATGAACAGGTGACACTGTACTGCATGTTTGTGGCCATCATGGCATTCCATGCTCGTATCAGTGACCCACGTGTCGGAGGGACTTACTTAACTCTTCTTAACACACTGACTAACCTTGGAGGCAACTGGTGTCAGACATTAGCCTTGTGGCTTGTCGATGGACTCACCTGGACAAACTGCGTAGGTGCAACCATACCAGGACTGCATTGCAGTAGCAAGACAAGTGCTAAGGTACAGGCGCTTCTCCTAAAAATGTCTTCATTTGTAAAGATTTTTTGTTCTAATTTATGTTTTCAACCAAAAACTGACTTATGTTGCCTATTTCAGTCTGTCTCATTGCATTCTGAACCTTGCAGGTTCGGTAAATTGAATAGTATGGCATGTAACTGGGAGATATGTTTAGGATGTAGCCTAAACATCTTTAGATGCCCCTCAAGAATGTTTTGGAGTTCTCATCAAGCTGCAGAAATGTCCAAACAATGATTGGAACCAACCAAATTATCTTTGCATGATTATGGCTTAGTATGTCCAAAGTATTGATCTAATAGAGCAAAAACATACAAACAAACAAACAAACAAACAAACAAACAAGCAAACAAACAAAAAGAAACCTTCCCCTAGAGTCACGATTCGTGTGGGTCTTTGAAAACCTGGAAAGTCACGGATTTAAAGAATTTCGTTTTCCAGGCCTGGAAAGTCATGGAATTTAATTGTTGGTTATGGAAAGTCGTGGAAAATAATGGTCAAGTCTGGTACAGTTACATCACTGCACTTGTCAAAGAAGAGTGCAAAATCAAATGACACCATTCCGGAATTAGACGGAGAAACAAGTATTTGTATGAGTGTCATTAACAAAAGACAGCAGCTTGGCGTCAATTTCATCTCTTTTCTTTGTCTGTTGAACTGAGTTTTTGTCGTAAAATACCGTAAACTACCGCTTATAAGCCCTGGGCTGATACAACTTCGTAAGGGGTTTTAGATGGGCTTAAAAACGGAGGGGCTTATATTCCAGGGATCTTATACTGGTAAGTAAGCTTTAACACATCATAATAAAATGAATTCAAAACAACGAAATCTAGAAGGGGACTTTAAACCCGAGGGGGCTTACAACCGGACAAATCTTTTGGTTTAAAGGTAGATGGGCCTACGGCCGGGAGAAGGGGGGGCGGGGGGGAGGGCTATAAGCGGAGGGGCTTGTAATCGGCAGCTTACAGTACCTTAAAACAAGGATAGTTTGGAAAATTTTCGAAAGTGACAGCTAAACTTAAGGTCGTGGAAATAAGATTATTATTTTTATTTTTTTCTACATGTTCGCCTCTGTGGCATTTAGAAACAAGTGGGGCGACACTTAGATCCATTGTTCATCTGTTGTTTTTATTTTACTTTTTCAGGATTGTACCAATGCTGGAGGTGTGTGCGAGACATGGATTGATGGATATTACGTGGAGTCCATAGTCTGTGTAGTTATTGGTATTTTATGGCTTCGGTGGAAAGGCCAACAGACACGGTCTCTACAAGATTTACCAGAATCTGTTTGGAAATACCAATAAATAAGAATAATCTAATATATAAATGAGGATAAATGAAAAGCACCCACTGCGACTTGGCTATTAATACATTTACAACTATTTAACATGAAAAGGAAGCATACATTTTTTTTTTTTTATTTGCAATAACACAAGGGAAACCAATGCTTACTTACAACACTAACTCTATTTACATTATATTGCTCTAATTATTTACACTATTTCAATTACAATAACTAAACGACTTACATTACTAACAAATACAGTTACACGACTTAGACAATTAAGAACATGCATACATGTGCTTTTAAAAGATGTTATTTTAAGAGTCAAATAGGTTTGGCCAGTAAGAACATGAAACATGTATGAGTCGCAACTCCTCGTTAACCCTTACAAAGTACCACAGCAGTAGTGTTGATAATTTAGCCTCCTACACAGGGTTACGATGACAAATTGAAAAAGCCTGGCAAACTTTTTTTAAAAATTTCTTTGTCTTGTGAAAGAAAAATCGCTAAGGAATAATGACAATTTGCACTCCCCTTAACGATTCACTTCATTTTGGGGGTTTACGAACGGTTGTGTTCGAGTGAAGGTACTTAGTGAAACTTTAAGCACAGCTTTGACCAAAAATGCGGCTCAGTCGCCGTAATGGTACACCTTTAACAAGGGTTAGGAATGACCAACTTGAAAAAGTTGGCCAACTTTTTCAGGATGACTTTGCCTCTTGTGAACTCTAAATAATGAACTACCATGCAAGTCAAACTCCAACGGCCCGGTGAGGGCAACATTCCACTTCCTCGGAAACTCCCAGGCTGCCAGAAGATTAGTTTACGACTTGGTCTGGACGTCATATTGTTGTGTTAGTCGCTAAAATTACATGAATGTAATTAAAGCACTTTGCATTAAGCATAAACCGCGTTGAAAAAGTTTTGCTAACCTGGCCTAGCATGGTTTTCAAATGTAACAAGTGTTAAGGTTTCATTTTACATTAAAATTTGTCAGGTGTAATGTAGACTCTGATAGCAAAACGTTCTATACTTGTTTTGTACTTTGATTGGCTCTTATCACCAGCACTTAAGTAGTTTACCCCAAAGCCAAAACAACACCGTTTCTGAGGAAACAGAGCAAGAAATGTGATAACAGGACAGATCATCACAGTTATACACAACTTAAGCAGTTGTGAAACTAAGAAGGAATCCGCCAGATGTTCGAATAACAAGTGGACAAAAACTTTGTTCCGAGATTGTTGACGTCGTTTCGCAAAGTTCTGTGTGACTGTTTTAAATGTCTTCTCGAAACAAAATCATTTCTAACAACACCAGAGGGCGAAAACAAGTTTTGAAGTTGATGTGAAACGCCTGAAAGTACTGGTGAAATGAAAAATTATTCTGGTACAAGGTTTTTGTCCATTAACAGCTGAAATTGCTCGATTTTCCATCGGATTTCGTCTTAAAGCGTGAAAAAAATTCAGGCTTGAACGGGATTCGAACCCATGACCTCTGCGATGCAGGTGCAGTGCTCTACCGACGGAGCTGTCCTCGTATCTTTCTCTGCGGTTCAAATATGTGATCTTTCATATGTTGACTTGTGAAGCTGGTAATGATAACTTTTTCTGTTTTAGCCTGCAGTGCAGGCGTCTTATTGGGGCGAGTTAGCGTTACAACCTTGCGACCGCCTTTTTAGACCGCCATGTTAGACCGCCATGTTAGACGGTGGGGGATGGGGGAGGGGGAAAATGAGATTTTCTTCGCTCCACCCCCTCTATCCTTCCTCTTGCCTATCATTCACCCCCTTGGTAAAACTTTCTTTCTCTCCCCAGTCTTCCACTGCATGAAAAATTCAAGGTGGCAGCTAAACTTTTTACGATGTGAGCGCTCGCTCGAAACAATCTCGCCTGCTCTGCAGGCTATTTCTGTATAAAACCATATTCATGCTGTACCGAAGCATTTAAGCTTGCCTAGGATGTGATATCCTTCCTCATGTTCCTGTCCCGTGTCTCCAAACCTTAATTGGGAAACTGGAAGGTGAGTTTTGTCCGTGAGTAGTCCGCTATCTTCATGCCAAATTTCTTCATTTGCATCGCAGTTGCATTTTTTATGTTCTTGAACACAGGTTTGTGTCACGCCACATGCACAATAGCCTTCCATATTAACAGCGCCACCCCAATATTTCATTTTTACGCCATCACGTGACACCCACCAGCCCTTCCCATTATGAAGGAGCTTGGCATCAAAACATTCATAGCTGATAAACTGCTCACAATGTAAAGAGGCATCTGTTAGAGCTGTTAGCTGGGAGAGACTGGCTCCCATGTATGTCACGTTGCGTTTGTAGCATCCTTCCTCGTCGCAACCGTCCACATAGGTTCTGTTTTCTGTGTCATGACTGACAATTGTCACGCCAATGCCTCCTTTGTCGGTCATGTTACAGTAGACATCAAACGGAGCCGTGCCACCGACACCATCAGAATCGATGACGTAATGACCACTGACGTCAGTTACATTTGTTTTCACACTGCTGCATGTCTCAGGATACCCTATATGGACAGTAACTCTTGCGGTTGTCCAAGTTTCCGAGCTACTCGAGTTACGCACGACACATGCATAATTTCCACCGTGGTATATTTTAGCAGAGGATATTTTTAAGACTTTGGATTCATCGATGACCACTCCATCAGGGAGAGTTGAAGTTTTGTTATACATCCACAGGACAATTGAGTGCTGACTTGTTGGGACAGGACAAAGAACTCTGTTGTTTTGGCCAATGTAAACTAGCAAAGACGATGACAAGTCAGTTGACAGTTGCATGACGTTTAGCTCCACAACTGATGAATTAGACCCTAATGCGTTTGTACCAGTACAAACGTACAACCCACCGTCAGCTACACTCACATTCAGAATAGTGAGCTCTGCATCACGTATGATGATCCTTGAGTGGGGTAATAATCCTTCTGACTTGTTCCACGTGATCACAGGCTGTGGTTGACCTGCTGCAGTGCAGGTAAATATCACATTCCCTCCTTCCTCGACAGTGGTGCTCTGGGAATTCACTCTTACTGAGGGAGCAACTGAGGAGCGAAAAACAAATGAGCTGGGTGTAATTTACTGTGAGTTATCTCTGTCATTCCTTTAATGTTACGCTTGAGGTGTAAAATGGCAAAGGAATTTGTGTGCAAGCAAATGAATCGACAAAAGAATCATTCAGTGCTAAACTTATTTTTTTACAAGAAGCATACACTAATATTCCTCTCGTCCTAAACAGAAGTCATGGGGCGTGCATCATGTAACTCGCCATGTAACAAAGTACTGTGTGTTAACTTGGTAATAGGATAGTAAGCTAACAACAATTCGCGTCAGTTTTGAAAGATTTTATTAATAATAGCAACTGAGGAGTGAAAAACAAACGAGATGGATGTTGAAATACTGTGAATTATCTTTGTAGGTGTAAAATGGCAAAGGAATAGTTATGTGTGCTAGCAAATGAATTCACAAAAGAATCAGTACTAAACTTATTTTTGAACAGGAAGAAATACTCTCGGACTTTGTAAATACTGACTCGTCTCCAAAATTCAAAAATCAAAACATTCTTCCCTATTCCTCCTTTCTTCACTCTTGTCCTAAAGAAAATTCATGGACCGTGCAGCATCTAACTCTCCGTGTAGCAAAGTATTGTATGTAATCGGATAGTAAGTTTATAAGCTGAACTCGTGTTAGTTTTGAAAGATTTTTTTAATAGCTACTAGTGTATTACGAGTTCAAATATGAATAAAATGAAAAGTTTGGAAAGTTAATTTGCAGTTGAATGTTACCTTGAATGGATGGAGTGGAACTTGTTGGTTCACTTGAAGTGGATTTTGAAACCACTAAGAAAGTAAATAACAAGGCATAGGAACAGGTGCAAGCGGAGTTTTTCTCAAAAATCAGCGACGTTTTTCTCAACAATTAGCTAAATTATGAGACCTTTAATATTGTTACTCTAAGTTTGCTCCAAACATACTACCAGGCTGATCCGAGCAGTCTAATCTTGAGGCTGACTTAAGCTATGCATGTAGACTAAGAGTAATGGCAAGGCAGCGTAAACGATAAAAGTAGCAAAAATACGACAACGACAACGACAACGAAAACAACAGCAAACAATAGTAACGACAACTACAACAGAAACAACAGCAGTAATGATGAAAAGCAATACACCCCGGCGGTAGTTAATGGTCACAATGTATGTATTTGTACCATAATTAAAAAAAAAGAAACTGAAAAAGAGAAAAACAAAGATGATTGTTTCAAACTAGCAAGTTGGAAAAGCAGGAGAGACGTAATTTACGACATTCATTTGTCATATTAGTTAACTGTATTTGGAATAGTTGGCTTACATTCAAACCAAGTGAAGCGTACCTCTCAAGATTACATTAATGAATTGATTATTGAACCCGCTAGTGGTTTCAAGAATGCAATAAGGAATTGATTATTTGAATATTGAACTCGTTAGTCATTTCAAAAATCAATATTAAATTTTTTTTTTGAACATTAAACCCGTTAGCCGTATTCTTGGAACGACTAGTGGGTTCAATATTCAAATAATCAATTCATTAGTGTAAACTTGAGTGGTACGCTTCACTTGGTTTGACTGTAAATCAGTAATCCTATTAAATTCCCAGCTACTGTAATACACCAGGAAGAGCTTTATGATCAACCTTGACGGAACTGGCATTGTTAATTTAAAATTTGTAGGGAGGACGTAATTTAATGTTGCCATTTGTTGAACTGGAACTCTTGGGTGAGCTTGGAGCTGAACTTGGGACCACTTGAAGAAGAAATTTCGAGACCCGCATAATCAACATATTCATTTTAACCAAAAAGTCAAGTTTAGAA